TTGAATATTGAAATCAAGCAAGAGAGACATAGCATGGCGCTCCGCTCGTGTCCGTCTGTAAGGGAAAAGGTTGACTCATCGTGTGCACCAAGGCGGGTCGATCCAGAAGAGGCCTCGCCTTCGAATGTTCCCCGTTCGGGTCTCTTGGGGGAGCGCCCAGCGCGGCCTGCCAGCATTGTAGACGCGCTTGCGACCGCCAGCGCTGCCGACCCCAAACAAGTTGTTCCTTTCATGACGCTCGGGGGCGTCCAAGAAGGGAGGTGATGACTAGGTGGCGTGGATATCATGGCCAGGGCCGTGACAAGTTCCCTGGATTTCATTGTCCCTCTTCTTATCTCAATGCGTCTCCTGCCCCCCCCCTGCTCGTCCGCGCACCTGCCTCGGGTCAGGAGTTGCGAGCTCCCCTCTTGGGACGCCCCCGAGATGCGAGGGGGGGTCGCTCCTCGCACGCTGTCCCTCGCTGGCGTGTCGAGCGGGCCCGGCTCGAGCGGCGGCTGGGCGGAGGGAGGAGGAGGGAGGAGGGAGGAGGGAGGAGGAGGGAGAGAGGGAGGAGGGAGGAGGCGGAGGGAGGAGGAGGAGGGAGGAGGGATGAGGGAGGGAGAATGTTGAGGGAGGAGGGAGGGAGGAGGGCGGCTGCCGCCAGGGCCGGTGGCCGCGTCGGAGGTCCCATGCGCCGCCGCCCCGCCCGGGGAGGAGTGATGGCGCGGCGCGCAGCGAGGCCAGGGGCGCCGCCTCCTCCCTGGTAGGGAGCCTGAGGCGGGGTAAAAACGACGCGAAGTAAAACGACGCGAAGAATCGGACAAAATCGGATCGGATAACTCGAAATCTTGTAGAAATCGGGCGGGTTTGGAGGATGTATTGGGCGCCGCGGCCGCTCCAGAGCGTTCCGGAACGCTCTGAGAGCGCTCCGGAGCGCTCTGGAGCGATTTATCCCGATCCTAGCCTTGTTTTACGGGGGTGAATGCAAACGGGGGTCAGCCAGAGGGCCCGATCTTGCAGGATCCTGCGGGGCCAGGGTCGCATTGACCCCGGCATGGGGCGCAGGATCCTGCAGGATCCTCCGCATTGACCCGGGCTTTGGTGCAGGATCGTGCAAGGCCTGACTGGCCCGGCTCTGGACTGACCGGGGTCCGAAGATCCCCGAGATCGAGGGGGGAAATACGATGTCCATGATCAAGATGCTCAGGTAGTGACTCACGGAAGCTTCGCTCGTCCTGCGTGGAGCGCATACCAGCGAGTCGCGCCCCAGATCACCCACGAGCGCCAAATAGCGCCCAATGGCGCCTAGCAGAGCTCAAATAGCGCTCATTAGCGACCAATTGCGCCCAATAGCGATATGTGAGGGAGATGCATTCTTGCCGCTGTGCGCCCGACTGGGCGCGCCACTGGGCGCCACGGGGACGACTGGAAGCTTTCGTGAGTTGTTTTCTAAAGATGTCCCGGGGCTTCGTGGCAGGGCCGTTTTCGACCGCGTTCGAAGAATTGCTTCTTGGTGGTGGCAGCGGCAACGAAACGTTTCACCGAAACGGTCAAAAAACAGAGTTCACCGAAACGGCCTGGGCAGTCTTGGGATCCTAAGGAGGCCGGAAGCGGTTCGAAAACGGCTCGAACCCGGAAAACAACTAATGGCATGGACCGTGCAGGCCCCCGCTAGGGGAAACACAAACAATAAAACAACGGCGCTGAAAACGTTAACTAAAACGGCGCCGGAAACAGTAAACAGCATACCAATTAGATTTGTAAAAACAAATGCGTGTCGTTTCCAGGGCCCATCAAGGCTTATCTTGGTCATGGTCCATGCCAGCCGTCGCCGGTTCTCACGAATGTTCCACGCAGCGACGGTGACCAAGATGGACGATGACCAAGATCGACATCGGCATTTCCGCGTTCAATTTTGGTCATGGTTCATGGTCCTCGTCCTCTGTCCCTCCGAAGGACTTGCTGCTGGCCCTGCAGGACAGCCTCGCCGCCAGAGAGGACCCCGGCAGAGGCCGTCCATAAACCCAGACCTCCGAGTAGATTCGGGCCAGAATTCGGCGGCAAGCGAGGGGGGGAAGTGAGAAGGAGGAGGCCTGCTCATAAGGTGGCGGGGCTTCTCAGAAGCCCTATGGCCTTCTGGGGAGTGTTCTGTGTCTTCGGGGAAGGTTTGGAAATTTGTTCAGAAAGCCGCTTCCGAGACTTCTGAGAAGGCCCGCCACTTTCTCACTTCACCCCCAGACTGGTCGTCGAGAAATGGGTACGGAAAGAACGGACACAAAAGACCGACAATATTTCTGGTTCATTTTGAGCAGGACTCGCTGTAAGCATCGCCGCCGACATTGCCCATGTGAGACAGAAGGCCACCTGCTTAACAGCGGCCGCTGTTGGTCTTAAACAAGATTTGTTGTTGGGCACTGTACCCATATTTATCCGTACCAATGTTGGGCATATGGATCTATGATGGTTTAAAGTTGGGCGTTTGTTCCCAACAGGCTCAGTGGGGTCTTGCTTTCGTTCCATCTGGGTCCCACGCGTGTCTCCCCATCTTGCTTCCTTTTTTCATCTCTATGTTGCAAGGCGCCACACGCATCATACATACATACACGCACTTGCAGCCGCACGCGCACCATACAACGATAGTGTACACCGGGCGCAATCACCAGGCACGGCGCAATACAACACACCAGGCACGGCGTAACACAACACACCATCACTTCTTCCACGCTCATACGCGTATCAGACATACGCCCACAAGACATACTCACGCATGCTTCGCACACACTAGCCGGCACACAAGAGGCACACGCAGCACGACACAACACACGGCATCCGCACGTCCACATACAGCCGCACACACAGCATGCACATACGCAAGAGTGAATGTTTATCGACACCAGAGGGGGTGCTCCCTCAGCGCGGCCTCCATGCGTGCCAGGGTCGGAAAGCGTGGCACGAGTAGCACGTTCTCAACAACACAGGGGGTGCGCAGAGAGTGGTCCCTCACCGTGGTCTCTATCCGTCGCAGGGTTGCGGTGCGTGGCAGTCGTGGCACTTACTCCACACCACAGGGGGTGCGCAGGGGGTGTTTTTTTACTGCGGTTTCTCTGCGTCTCAGGGTCGCGGGGCGTGGACGGCGTAACATTTTCTCCACACCACCAGGGGGGGGGCGCAGGGGGTGGTCCCTGAGCGCGGTCTCTATGCGTCTCAGCGTCGCGGGGCGTGCTAGTCGTGCCAGTTTCTCCACCACAGGGGGTGAGGGTGCGCAGAGGGTGGTCTCCTGAGCGTTGTCTTTATCCGAGGGGGTGCGCATGGGGTGGTGCCTGGGCGCGGTCTCTAGCCGTCTTAGAGTCGCGGGGCGTGGCAGGCGTGGACATTTCTCCACACGTGGTCCCCTCAGCGTGGTCTCTATCCATCGCAGGGTCGCGTGCCGTGGCAGGCGTGGCACCTTTTCGATCCCGCAAGGGGATGCGCAGAGAGTGATTCTTGTGCGCTGCCTCTATCCGTCTCAGGGCCGCGTGGCGTGGCAGGCGTGGTACTTTCTTCATATTATAGGAGGTGCGCAGGGGGCCAGCTCTCGTCGTGAGCATGCGTGGGCATACGTAGCACCCAAGTCTCTAAACACCTTGGTTCAAGTTGGCTTTGGGCGCCTGGGTTGCCACGCTGGGGCGCCAGGGTCTCCAATCGAAGGCCGCAATTGCTTGTCACGCTGGCGCGCCAGTCATGCCGCCCAAGCCATGGACGAGCTGCCACCTTCGTGTTCGACGTGGCGAGGTAAGGTTAGCAGGCTTGCCCAGCTGCTTCGACGCGACGGCGCCTTCCGCATTTCATGCGTACCGTCGTCAACTCAAGAATGTGTGGCCCGAGGCGCTCCTCATTAGGTGCAGCGAGCTGGGGCGGCAAGGAAGGGGCCAGGATGTACCTGCTGAACCCTTCGTCGGGGGCAGACGAGGGCCCGACGCCAGCGAAGGTTCGGCGAGTGCACGAGGCCGGCATCGCGGGCGCGGACCCAAAACTTCCTTCGGGGCAGCATGCCATTGCTATGAAAGCCGCCACCGTGAAGTCCGCGCCGACGAAGGCGCCATCCCGTGCAGGCTTTCGGCCCGCAACGGTCTCTGGCTGTTCTGCTGGCCTCTTTGTTTGTTCCGCTGGCACCCATCGCATCCTGCTGCCCCCTAAACCTGTGGAGGCGGAGAACCGCTGGTCACGAGAACCTTAGTCGCACAACCTGCAAGAGGCAAGAGTCGATCCTCGAAGCAGGCGCGGCCCATTCCCCATACCGCAGGGCGTGGCGCAGTGCATCGGGGCGCTATGCGTGCCAGGGCCGCACGGCTTGGCAGACGTGGCGTCGGGAAGTCGGCGCCGAACGCTTCGCCGCATCACGCAGACCCGCGCCCGTAGCACATTTGCCGGTGCGCAGAGACGCACGCCTGTAGCCATTTCGCATAAAGTGCAGTGCGCAAGATGAAATGCCCATGCAGGACCCCAAATAAGTATGCGATGGTCCTCGGCAGGGTGATTCTAGATGTCGGCGTCTGGGGCCCCACTATCGGGCCCCAGGCACATCAAACACTGATCTGGGGTTGGGGAAGGGGTCGGGATGCGGCGGCAGCGGCGTCCGGCACATTCTTTCTTCACCGCCGGATTTCTGAGATCCACGGTTAGTTCTTGGTCGATGTTTTCCTGGTCTTGGCTTCGTGTCAGCCGTGTACGGCGGCGTCGCGTCGCGTCGGCGCGGCGGAGGTCTCAGCGCGGGCGTTCGAGGTTTTACGCCGTCGGTGACCCAGAATCTGCCGACATCGAGCGATCCGTGCTATCGAAAAGCCGTGCTCGCTCCGAGTTGCATGGTCAACGTGGTGTCCGACACCAAGTTTCAGGTCGTCACGCCGCGAACCAGCCGCGTGGACTCTCCAGGACCGCGTGGTTCCACTACACGCAACGCTGGTTCTTCACCGAAGTGACCTTTGGTGCGGGCCCGCTGGGGCCCACCGATCGCTGAATGCGATGGCGATAACAGCGGCTTGCGTGCTAGAGTCGGGCCTGCCCCTTTGGCTCCCCTTTTTGTAGAGCCGCGCGCCAGAGGCAACCCTTGCTCACAAGGCCACTGTTGCTTGTAGTCGAGCCCAGACATCCGACGATGCTTCTCTATACACATATGTATATGTATATATATATACATATAGAGAGAGAGGAAAAAAAACAAACAAACAAACAAAAAATAAGTCCGCGGCCGCAGCATTCCCGACCCGATCCAGGGGGGCAGCTCTGCGTGCCAGATCCATTTTTGATCGCCCCGGGACGGGCTCGCGAAAACGGTCCTGGGGGCCGAGATCTGGGAAGAGCGCTGGGATTGAAACAACCCCGCGATGTCTTCACAACGGGGTCCCCCCCAAGGCCGTGGCCCCTTCCTCGGGGCCGATTGTCATCCTGGATCGTTTCGTTGGCTGCCTTAGGGCCCAGCGAGGGCACCCGGAGGCCGAAAACTTACAAAAAAAACGCCGGTCGCGACGTCCACGGCGCGAAGGGATTTGGCTGAGCTTTCCCCCACCGTTGCCCCTGGATCGTCCATCCTCCTCGATCGTCTTTCACATCCCTCCTCGATCCCCCTCCTCCTCGATCCTCGTCCCCCTCCTCCTCGATCCTCGTCCCCCTCCTCCCCCTCCTCGATCCTCCTCCTCCTCCCCCCTTCCCTCCTGTCCTCCCCTCCTCTCCCCCTCCTCCTCCTCCTCCTCCTCCTCCTCCTACTCCTCCTCCCCCTCCTCGATACCTCGACCATCCTCCTCCTCCTCCTCCTCCTCCTCCTCCTCCCCCTCCTCCCCCTCCTCCTCGATCCTCCTCGACCCTCCTCCCCGACCCCCCCCGAGCGGTGCGGCGTGGTCGCGCCCCCCCCGCGCCGAGGAGGCGTGGTCGCGCCTGGCGGAGCTGCAGCGCCTCGGGCGCGGCGGCCCCGCCCGCGCGGCGCCGGCCCGGGCGGAGGCGCCCGCCCGGGCGGAGGGCGGGGCCCGAGATGAAGTGGAGGAGCTGCGGCGGCGGCTCCGCGAGAGCGAGGAGCTGATCGGCTGCGGGGCCCGTTCTCAACCGCCACGGCGGCGGCTCCGCGAGAGCGAGGAGCTGATCGGCTGCGGGGCCCGTTCTCAACCGCCACTGCCAGGGGCAAGACGGGGGAGATCTCCTCCTCCGCCTCCTCCGCCTCCTCCTCCTCCTCCTAATCATCCTCACTGCCTCCTCCTTCCTCCCTAATCCTCCTTCCTCCTCCGTCTCCTCCTCCCTTCTCCTCCTCCTCCTCATCCTCAACCTACGCCCCTCATCCTCCTCCTCCTCTCCTTTTCCACTCCTCCTCAGCCTCATCCTCCTCCTCCGCCTCCTCCGCCTCCTCCGCCTCATCCTCTCCTCCCCTCCTCCTCCTTCTCCTTCCGTCTCCTCCTCCTCCCTCTCCCTTCTCCTCCTCCCTTCTCCTCCTCCCCCTCCTCCCCTCCCTCCTCCTCTCCTCCTCCATCTACCTTTTCCTCATCCTCGTCCTCCTCCTCCTAGTCCTCCTTCTTTCTCATCCTCCCCTCCTACTCCTCTTCTATTTCTCCTCCTCCTCCTACATCCTCCTCTACTACCCTCCTCCTCATTCCTCCTCCTCCTCCTCCTCCTCCTCCTCCTACCTATGGTGGTGGTGGTGGTGGTGGTGGTGGTGGTGGTGGTGGTGGAAAATCTCCCCATCGGCGGCTGCGGCCCCCAAGCGGTACGGTGGCCGCACCTTGAGGCCCTGAAGCGGCAGTTTTTTGTTCGAGCCGCGGCTCACAGCAATGGCAGCAAGGCACTTGTGTACAGTGCTCGGCTTCCAGCGGCGATGGACCTCCGAGTGTAGACTTGCTGCAGGACTTCAGGAGCCGTGGCGTGGTCGCCCGATAAGGGCCCACACAGATGGGCCCACCTCGAAAAGCGGGGCAGACAGACGGGGTCTGGAGCTCCAGTCGTTGCATTTGTTTTGGGATATTTCATTTGTGGGATCGGAGCCTTCTGGGGTCGCGGATGGAGGACATCGTGTTGGGGGTTGTTCGGGGCAGCGGGGTCTCATAGCCCCCACTCCGTCGTCCTCCCGTGATTCCTGTTCTAGTGTGCCTTCAGCACGTCCCCAGATCTCCGACGATATGGTTTGTTTCAATCCTGGCATGTTTCCTCGATCTCGGCCACACGGGCCGGGACCCTCGAGATTGTTTCCGGGACGACAAGGTTGTCCCTGGGGAGGAAACCGGAATGTCTGGGGCCGCGGAGGAGCGAAAACACGTCGCAGGACGTCTGGGGGCAGCGGGATGTGGACACTATGCCCCAGCTCTGATGGCCCCCTCTCCTCATTCTTGCCCTTTTGTTCTTTATTATTCTTTTTCTTATGTTTATCATTATTAAAATTATTATTATTATTATTACTACTATTATTATTATTATTAATATTATTATTATTATTCTTATTATTATCATTATTATTATTCTTATTACTATTACTATTACTTCTTTTTTTTTCTTTCCGGTATTCCCTCCGACCCGACCTCGTTCGATGCTCGTTCTGGGGATGTTCAGGGCCCACCCAACGGACCTGCTCGCCTCAAGTTCGACTGTAGCTGGAGTATGGCTCGTCCCGAGGTCGACTCGACTCGACGGACGCTCGAGGTCCATCATTTACACGTGGATGGGGAGAGTGGCTCCAGGCAAGGCAGGGCAGTGAGGAGGAGGGGGAGGAAGAGGTGGAGGAAGAAAGAGAAGGAGGAGGAGGAGGAGGAGGAGGAGGAGGAGGAAGAGGAGGAGGGAGGGAAGGAGGGAAGGAGGAGAGGGAGGAGGGGGGGAGGAGGAGGAGGATTGGAGGAGGAGGAGGAGGAGGAAGAGGAGAGAGGAGGTAGGAGGAGAGAAGGAGGAGGAGCTACTTAACTCAACTCCCCTGCCCGGGAGGTTTAGAGTGTACGCCCGGTGAGGAGGAGGGGGGGAGGAGGGGAAGGAGGGATGGGAGAAAGGAGGTAGAGAGGCAGGAAGGAAGGAGAAGGGGAAACCGGAACAAGAGAGGGGTGAGGAGAGGAAGCGCCGGGAAGGGTAGGAAGGCCCAGGGGTGAGGAACAGGAGAGGCAGGAGGGAGTGGAGGAGAAGCGGATAGCAGGGGATCAATAGTGGCAGGAGGAGGGAGGAGGAGGAGGAGGAGGAGTTGGAGGAAGGAGGAGGAGGAGGAGGAGAGGAGGAACAGGAATAGGAGGGGAGGAGGAGGGGAGAGGAGGAGGCGGACGAAAGGAGAGGCGGAGGGGAGGACGGAGAGAACGTGGAGGCAAGGAGGAGGGAGGAGGAGGGAGGAGGAGGAGGAGGAGGAGGAGGAGGAGGAGGGAAGAGGAGGAGGGAGGAGGAGGAGGAGGAGAAGGAGGAAAGAGGAGGGAGGAAGAGGGAGGAGGAGGAGGAGGAGGAGGAGGAGGATGAGGAGGAGGAGGAGTAGGAGGGAGGGGGAGGAGGAAGAGGAAAGAAGAAAGAGGAGGAGGAGGTGGAGGAGGAGGAGGAGGAGGAGGAGGAGGAGGAGGAGGAGGGAAGAGGAGGATGAGGAGGAAGAGACGGAGGAGGATCAGGAGGAGGAGGAGGAGGAACAGTCGGGATTATGTGTATGATGATGATGATGCTGATGATGCTGATGACGATGATGATGGAGTTGTTGTTGATGATTATGATGATGCTGATGATGATGATGATGATGTTGATGATGATGATGATGAGGAGGATCATGCTGATGCTGCTCATGATGATGCTGATGATGATGCTGATGCTGATGCGGCTGATGCTGATAAGGATGATGCTGGTACTGATGCTGCTGATGATGCTGATGCGGATGATGCTGATAATTATGATGCTGATAGTGATGCTGCTGATTGTGCCGATGATGATGATGATGATGATGATGATGATGATGATGATGATGATGATGACGACGATGACGATGACGATGACGATGACGATGACGATGACGATGACGATGACGATGATGATGATGATGATGATGATGATGATGATGATGATGATGATGATGATGATGATGATGATGATGATGATGATGCTGATGTTGATGCTGATGCTGATGCTGATGCTGATGATGATGCTGGTGATGATGACGAGGAGGACGAGGAGGAGGAGCAGGAGGAGGAGGAGGAGGAGGAGGAGGAGGAGGAGAAGATGAGGCGCGTCCGCAGGAGGCGCGCAAGGCCGACGGAGCTGCGCTGCGGGCTCGGGTGGCGGAGCTGGAGCGCCGCCTCGCGGAGTCTCGGGCGGCTGCGGCCGCCGTCGGGTCCCGCCCCCCCGCGCGCGGGGGCCGCGCGGCGACGCCGGAGGCCAGGGGCAAAACGAGAGGTGGAGGAGGAGGAAGGAGGAAGGAGGAAGGAGGAGGGGGAGGAGGAGGAGGAGGTGGAGGAGGAGGAGGTTTTTTTCGAGGCTCGAGGCTTTCGTACGTTCGAGTGTGTTCTCCGCTGTGCTCCAGGCTCGGGATGCGCTCCGGCAGCTGCGCCTCGCGGGGGGCGCGCAGGGGGGGGGCCCGGATCGTCCCGCGCGACCGCCCGAGACCGGAGCTGGGGCCCCAGAAGCAACAGGAGACCAGCCGAGGCCTCGGAGCTTCATATCAATGATGCAGTCCAGGGCTTGTGCTCAGCGTCTCGCGCCGCTGGTTCTGGCCCCCCCACGCTTCGGCGCGCCATGCTAGCCGCGTCCCTGCTTCCGCATCCACGTCCCGAGCTTCCCCCGTCCGTCCGCGGAGCGGAGGGACAAGCAACCCGTTGGCTAGGCAAAGCGTGCCGGTAGGGCCGCCGCTGCGACACGCGCAGCGAACGTTCCCGACCGTCGGCTCATGGGGGGGTACACGTCGACTCCCAATCGCCCACGCATCGCCGGAGATGGGGTGCCCCACCCGTGCGCAGTGGTGTGCGGCTTCGCTGCGTCTGGGGCCTGCGTCGCCGATCGGTCGGCTGTGCACCGCCGGCTCCAGGTCGCTCTCCCCCCCACGTGGTCGGGTGCTGCTGGAAGTGTCCCTGGCCCAAGGTGCCCCCAGGATGTCCGAGGAGGCCCCCGCGGCCTCCAGAGCACCCCCCCGCGAGCCCTCAGATCCGTCATTGCGAAGCAAAATTGCAACATCGCAGAAGATCACGACCGCGGCCCCGGACCCCGTCTTGACGGGCCACCCGTCGAGCCAGATCGATCCATGAGGGCCCCAGGGCCCAAGATCGAGCGGACAAGCCCGGCCCGAAACACCTGCCACGCCAGAGTCGGCTACACGTAAGAGTGACCCTTCGCCGGAGTGACCTTTGGTGCGCGCTCACCGGGGTCCTTCGATCGCCGCGCTCGGCGCGATAGTAGCGTCTTGCGCGCTTGTGTTTGGCCTCGTCGCGCCCCCCAAGAAGCCGCGCACCAAAGGTCACTCTTGCCCAGGGTCACTCTTACGTGCAGCCGACAGAGGGTCTCGGGGCGGCCCCGAGGGCCGCAGGGGGGGCTCCAGGAGCAGAGCGCATTGCTCGGGACGCCGCGGGCCAGGGGCACCTCTGGCAGCACCTGGCGTGAGCTCGTGCCCGCCGCCCTTGGCATCGCTCGGACGTGTGCACTTTTTTCTCGGCGGGGACCATCGAAGAGCATCCTGGATCACCGAGCAAGAAAAACTTGTTTGGGTCAAGATCTAGGCGGGGCGCGCGAAGCCCTAATTGGGGAGACAGCGAGCAAGAAAAACACGCGCAAAACCGAACACAGGGAACGTCCGAGCGGCGGCAAGCTCCTCCCCCCTCCTCCTCCTCCTCCTCCTCCTACTCCTCCTCTCCTCCTCCTCCTTCCTCCTCCTCCTCCTCCTCCTCCCCTCCTCCTCCTTCTTCCTCCTCCTCCTCCCCTCCTCTCCTCTCCCCCCCCCCGCCCCCTTCCTCCATCCTCTCCCCTCCTCCTCCTCCTCCCTCCTCCTCCTCCTCCTCCTCCTCCTCCTCCTCCTCCTCCTCCTCCTCCTCCTCCTCCTCCTCATCCTCCTCCTCCTCCCCTCCTCCTCCTCCCCCTCCCTCGCGAGAGGTGGCGCCCGCGGGCCCCGCGCGCCCCGCCGCGCCGGCGGAAGCCCGCCGGGCAAGGGAGCGGCGGCGGCCCGCGTCCCGGCCCGCCTGCAGGGCGAAGAGTGGCTGCTCAGAGAGAGGCAGGTCCTCCTCCTCGATCCTCCTCCTCCTTTCCTCCCTCCTCTCCACCTCCTCCTCCTCCTCCTCCTTCCTCACCGACCCTCTCGATCCTCTCCTCCTCCCTCCTCCTCCTCCCTCCTGCCTCCTCCTCCTCCTCCTCCTCTCCTCCTCCCCGCGACCCTCCTCCGATCCTCTCCTCCTCGACCCTCCTCGATCCTCCTCCTCCTCCTCCTCTCCTCCTCCTCCTCCTCCTCCTCCTCCTCGACACTCTTCGATCCTCCTCCTCCTCCTCCTCCTCCTGCCAGAGAGCGGCTCTGAGGTCCTGATTTTCGGGAGCGGAAAAGAGGGGGGGTGAGGGGGTGGATATCATGGCGGGGGCCATGATATTTCCCCAGATTTCATGGCGCCTCCTCTTGTTTCATTACGTCCCCGGCCCCCCCGCTGGGCCGCACACATGCCGCCGGTCATGATTTGCACCCCCCCTCTTGGACACCCCCCCTCTTGGCCGCTCCCGAGCTTTGGTCTGCACGAGGTGCTCTCTCTCTCTCTCAGGACAGGTCTGGCTGAGAGAGCGTCTTGTTCTGAGATCCTGTCGTGGTCTGCGCGAGATGCTCTCTCTCTCTCTCTCTCTCTCTCTCTCTCTCTCTCAGGACAGGTCTGGCTGAGAGAGTGTCCTGCTCTGAGATCCTGGCTGAGAGAGTGTCTTGTCCTGAGGTCCTGCTTTGGTCTGCTCGGGGACGGAAAAGAGGGGGGTGATGACTAGGGGGGGGGGGGATATCTTGGCGGGGGCCATGATATTTCCGCAGATTGTATGGCGCCTCTTCTTGTTTCATGACGTCCCTGGCCCCACCGCTGGGCCGCGCACATGCCGCCTGTCATGATTTGCACCCCCCCTCTTGGACACCCCCTCTTGGCCGCTCCCGATCTGCACGAGGTGCTCTCTCTCAGAACAGGTCTGGCTGAGATTGTGTCCTGTCCTAAGATCCTGTCGTGGTCTGCGCGAGATGCTCTCTCAGAACATGTCTGGCTGAGAGTGTCCTGTCCTGAGGTCCTGGCGTGGTCTGCACGAGATGCTCTCTCAGAACAGATCTGGCCGAGACTGTGTCTGCGCACAAGACGCTCTCTCTCAGGACAGGTCTGGCTGAGCCTGTCTTGTTCTAACACCTCTCGGGTGGAGGAGTTTCTTCGAGCAGCTTTTGGGCTTCCAAGCACAGGTGTTTTTTTCGAGCAGCACAAGTGCGTTTTGGGCTTCACAATCGCTCTAACACCTCGGGTGGGGGAGCTTCTTCGAGCAGCACAGTTGTTTTTTGGTCCTTCGAGCAGTGCTTTGGGCTCCCGAGAACGGCCCGTGGTAGGCCCACTACAGAGACGTGCCGGGACGCCCGGCCCCTGCCGGGAAGGCACCCGCCGGCACGCCCGCGCGCGGAGGAGCGCCGCGGCGCGGGCAGGGCCTTCGCGGGCTGCGGCGCCCTGCGCGGGGCGCCCCGCGCGGCCGCGGTGCCGGAGGTGGACCCGCTGAGGTCGGAGGGGGGCCATGTGGGGAGGCGGCGGCGGCCCTCCGGCAGCGAGCGGAGGGTCGGAGGTGGACAGACCTCCTACCCTGCAGTCGGGCCTGTCCCTCTACAGGGGGAATGCGCAAGAATAGTAAGAAAAATAGTCCGGGGACGATGCTTTGACAATTTTGCACATCTTGGGGGCATTTTTGAAGTATTCCTTGTAATTCTTCGCCCAACATCCCCCTGTAGTGGGACACGCCCGACTTCATCCTACCCTGACACGTCGATTAGCGAATTGGCCGTTCTCGGTTCGCGAGAGGGTATCGCGGCCGTCATGTTTGCGGGTCCAGGCCCGTCGGTTTCGGTCCCCGGCCGTTTTCACTGAAGGGAGGTTCACGAAAGGGAGGCTTGTCCACCGCCGAAAGGGGGGGGAAGCGAGAAGGAGAAGGCCCTCTCAGAAGGCGGCGGGGCTCCTCTGGGCCTCCCAGGTGGGGTCCGAGAAGTAGAGGGGCTCGGGGGGTCGCGCCACGCCGCCGAGGCATCGCCGATGCGGCTCGATGCGGAGGCCGATTTGCTTCACGCCGACGTCGCCGACGCATCGCCGACGTCGACGATGCATCGCCAGTGCATCGTCGATGCATCGTCGATGCATCGGCGCCGCATCGGCGATGCGGCGAGATCCTCCGACCCCACCTACTCGAACTTCATCTAGGAGGCCTCTAGTAGAGGAAAGGCCCTCTCAGAAGGCGGCGGCACTTCTCAGAAGCCCTGGCGCCTTCTGAGAGGTGTTTGGTGTCTTGGGGGCAAGGCTTGGGATTCTTCTTCGAAGGCCGGGGGGACTTCCGAACCTTCTGAGAAGGGCCTGATCCGTTTCACTTCCCCCCCCCCTCGCTCGCCGCCGACCCCCCCCGGCCCCGCGGCCTTCTCGTGAAGACCCGCGGGAGGCAAAGTAAAAACCGACCAGAGGGCCCGCGGGAGGGAGGGAGGGAGGGAGGAGGGAGGAGGGAGGGAGGAGGAGGGAGGGAGGATGAGGAGGAGGAGGAGGAGGAGAAGGAGGAGGAGGGAGGAGGAGGGGAGGAGGAGGAGGAGGGAGGGAGGGAGGGAGGGAGGGAGGGAGGGAGCTGGCGGTTGTCTGCTGTCCTCTGTGCGGGCCGCCTGGCCTCCGAGAGGCAATGACGAGCGCAAATCCGAGCGGCGCGCGTCGCCTGGACGTGGGCCTCCACGGGGAGATCCGCGCTCGGGCCCTGGGGCCCTCAGCCGCTGCTCGGGGACGACGATCGGGGAACGAAAAGTGGCATAAACATAAAGACTCGGAGGTCCGCGCGGATTTCTCGGATCCGCGCGGGACCCCCCTGGCGGCGCCTCCGGCGCCGCCCCTGGCGCGCTCCGCGCGCCAGGGAGGGGGGTCCCGCGCGGATCCGAGAAATCCGCGCGGACCTCCGAGTTTTTATGTTTATGCCACTTTTCGTTCCCCTAGACGAACGCTGCACCCGGGGGAGGAGTCGGGCCCGGGGCCGCGCACAGAGGAGGCCCCAGACCGGAGGACGCCTCGGCCCCGGGCTCCTGGGCGTCCGCGTGGGGCCTCTCGCCGCCACGGTTGCGGGCAGTACTTATATCCATATCCAGAGCGTCTTGGACTTTTCGGGAAGAGGTGCCGCAACGCCGAGGCGCACTGGATATGGATAAAATCAAGCCTCTTGGGGCCAGATTTGTATCCATATCCAGTGCGTCTACGGTTTCGGGGGAAGAGAGCCCAAGAATCCAAGGCGCACTGGATGTGGATATAACTCTTGCCCGCAACGGCTGGATCTCTGCCGCCACAGCAAGAGTGTCGGCATGTGAGGGGCACGTACCAAAAAAAGTCGGAGGTGGGCAGACCTCCTACCCTCTTGGCCTCCCAGATGGGGTCGGAGTGGATGGGGTCGGAGGATCGCGCTGCATCGCCGATGCATCGCCGATTCGGCTCGATGAGGAACCCGATGAGCTTCACGTCGACGTCGCCGATGCGTCGCCGACCTCGCCGATGGATCGCCAATGCATCGGCGATGCGGCGCGATCCTCCGACCCCATCTATTCGGACCCCATCTGGGAGGCCTCTATACCCCGACGCGTCGACTGAGGAATTGGCCGTTTTCGGTTCGCGAGGGGGCGTCGCGGCCGTCATTGTCGCGGGTCCAGGTCCGTCGGTTTCGGTCCCAGGCCGTTTTCATTCAAGGGAGTTTTGCTAAAGGGAGGTCTGTCCACCGCCGAATAAAAGGGGTCGTCGGCGCCGACATCGACGCGTGGGCTGCCCACGTGAGCTCGCGCGTATAAGCGCCCTCGTCTCCCGTGTGGCGGGCCGACCGGGCGGCCCACGTAAGCTGCGGCGTGAGGTCGCTGTGCCGCCTCGCGTAAGGCCAGGTTCTTTTCGAGGCTCGTTTGGTGAACCGTGCGGTGAAGGGCCGCATCCGCGCGATTCACGGAGTCTCGGTTGATTTCCGCTGCTAGCTATGCAGATATGCGCTACGCTACGCTGGCTGAGCCATGCTACTATTGGCTCTGACGCGTCCTGCTCTGATCGTCGCTCATTCGGACGCTGGGAGCGCGGTCTGGGAACGCCTCTTGCGCGGACTCCGTGGCCTTGGCGGGGGCGCCGCCGCCGGCTCCGCTAGCCCTCCTCCGATGCATGGGGAGGGAGCCCGAGCGCGAGCTCTCGCCCAGGTGCCCATTGTCGGGTGCTGCCAGAGGTGCCCCTGGCCCTCCTCCTCCTCCTCCTCCTCCTCCTCCTCTCCTCCTCCTCCTCCTCCTCCTCCTCCTCCTTCCTCCTCCTCCTCCTCCTCCTCCTCCTCTTTCCTCCTCTTTCCTCCTCCTCTTTCCTCCTCCTCTTTCCTCCTCCTCCTCCTCCTCCTCCTCCTCCTCCTCCTCCTCCTCCTCCTCCTCCTCCTCCCCCAGCTTTGCGCTCCATTCTTTAGGGGCCGGTGGGACCCTCGGAGCCTCGTGATGGGGTGCTCCGGAGGCCGCGGGGGCCTCTCTGGAAGTCCTGGGGCACCGTAGGCTCAAGTCATGCCTGTCCCTCCACAGGAGGCAAATTCAATAATAGTCCGAAAACCGTATGGGGATGATTTGTTTACTACTTGTGATGACATGTTTTAAATCTTGGCTCGGCGCTGGACTCCCCTCGCGGGGCAAGGAGAAGAGAGAGAAGAGGAGGAGGAGGAGGAGGAGGAGGAGGAGGAGGAGGAGGAGGAGGAGGAAAGAGGAGGAGGAGCAGGAGGAGAAGGAGGAGAAGGGAGGAGGGGGAGGAGGAGGAGGAGGAGGAGGAGGAGGAGGAGGAGGAGGAGGAGGAGGAGGAGGAGGTGACTACGTGACGTTTCGTCCAGAAGCCGCCTGCTGGAGGACACCGCCCGCCCTCGCCGCAGGCCAGGAGCACGTCCGGCAGCACCCGGCCCGTGGGGGGAGCGTGCCGAGCCGGCGCCGGCCGTGCGCGCGGGGGCGCGGGCCACTTGTGCGCCGCCGTCGGGCGGCGAGGGCGCGCGCGAGTGTCCGGGGCACCCGCAGCTCGCTTCGCGGCAGCACGTCTGGGCGACGGGCGAAGGGGGTTCCTCATCGGGAATGGGGGACGAGCGAACAGCACACACACCCATGCCCACAGGGAGGTCGTTGGGAGGAGGACTGGCTATGGGCATGGGGGCGGGTTGTCGGACCCTGGGGAACGCTCCCGCTCGAGCGGGGACCCCCATCCGACAACACGCACCCATAGCCCTCTCCGATCCCCCTATGGGTATGGGTGTGTGTTGTTGGTTCGTCAATTGGGACGTATGCATTGCCAGTGGCGGGCTGTTTCTCACTCCCAGGGACTTTTTGAGGGTCGGGGGCGACGTCGGGGCGGTGTGGTGTCTACTTGTTGTGGTCGTTGTACTACATCGGGCCTGGGCCACAACGCGCTTTGTTTGAGACGTAGGGAACTCGCCAGCATACGCGATTCAGAGAGATATGGGCCATTGGACCACGGTCGCCCGAGCCACGACGCACTCGCCACCGAAGCGCAAGCCACGAGCCACGGGCCACCACTCCCACGAACCGCGTGCCGCCGAGGCACGAACCATGGGAGACCGAGACATCATTCACGCTCGGCCGCACTCCTCTCGGCAGCAGAAAGCGTTCAGCACGCGCGGCCCACAGGGAACGTGCGATTCCCCCCTGGGGGAGGGATGAGCAGGACGAGGAGGAGCAGCATGGGGCAGGGGGCGAGGATGACCAGAAGCACGAGCACGAGGAGCAGAGGCAGGAGATAGAAAAGTAGAAGTGAGGGACGTTGACGATTTGATCTTCGACCTAAGTTTGCCTCACGTAAGATTGAGTGGGGGGCGAAAGGAGGCGGGCCAGGGTACCGATCTGTGTGACATGGCCAGGGCTCAGATAAATTCGCCGTCCGCGCGCCAGAGCGAGCCGCGACGACGACGACGAGAACGACGACGACGGCGCCGACGAGGACGACGACGACCACGACGACGACGCCGAGGCCGACGACGAGGACGAGGTCGACGACGAGGCCGACGAAGAGGACGACGACGCCGAGGCCGCCAATACTAGCGACGACGAGGCCGACGACGAGGATGACGACGGGCTTCATGGGCCACCCGTCCCACACCCCCATCGCTCACGGTTCCTGACTTTCCGCGCTTGTGGGACGGCCATCGGTTGCTCGCTGCATTCGTGGTTGAGCGTAGCGGCGGGTCCAAGTCTGCACCCTGGAAGCCCTCCACGGCAGGGAGCGTGGATGTGGGTACAGTCTTCGTGTGGCGTCTGGGTGGTCCTCACGTCCACTTCGGTCCAAAGGCCGAGGGGGCGCTGGCAGGGGCCAGCAACGAGGCGCACGTTGCTCTCCAAGATGAGGCCGAGTGGCCGACCGAGATGGTGGACTCCTCGTTCAGGTCGCAGTCAAGGAGCCCTGGGCACGGAAAAGATCGGCCCCAGATCTCAGTGGATCTGATACTCACAATCCAGGTCGTTTCGGTCAATATCGGCCTTTGGAGACTGTCGTCTGGCTCTCCGGGACCATCAAACATGGATCAAGGACGAAACTTGCCCCTGGGGAAGCCCTCTGGGGGCCGCGAATTAGATAACGCATGCTAGCGAGTGTCATGGGCTGGAAGCTTGCTCGCACCCGCGAGCTCCCTCTTTCCCAATTTCACGTTCCAATCAGATGTGCCTCACGATACTATCCCGTGAGGATCCGAGCCGACCCCGGACGAATCGGCTGAATCCGATCGGGCGAATAAATCCGGATGAACGCCTCATTACTCTGGCCTAGTTTTGCTCCTCGTGGCCGTAACGAAACCCTTTGTGGAGCTGCCACCTGATATCCCCTCTCCCCACCATTCCCCTCCCGTTCCTTCCCGGGCTGAGGCCCCCTTGTGTCCGACAATTGTGTTTGAGCCCTGTTGCCGCTGGCGGCTGATCTGAACACCATGCGCACAGGCTCGTCGACGGAGAGGAAAGGCTAAAGTACACGTAGGCCTGTCGATGTGGAGGAAAGGTTGGACATACGCACTAACATACATATACCGTGCATATACATATATACACATATTTATATACAGACATACATCAGGCAGTGCCAAGGGGGGTCACGGGGGTCGCCAGCTTCTCCTGGGAATCGAGGTTCCAGGATGGAGAGTCGAGGGGTCGAGGATGTTCTTGGACGTTTCTTTGCGTTTTCGGGGCTCTGGGGGGCCCAGTTCCTCGAGGAAGTCTCGAGGAAGTGGCGTTTCCTCGAGGAAGTGGCGACCCCCCCAGTGGTGATCCCCCTTTGCACTGCCCCAATACATACAGATACACATACCCTGTGGTAATCAGAAGCAGCTTTGGGGGAGGCCCTGGCCCAGGACACGGCCCGACGGCCGCCGGCCGAGCGCGCCGCCACCGGCGCCCCACGCCTGCGCTCGCGGCCGCGGCCGCGGGCAGGGCAGCCCTGCTCACGGCGGGGCGACGGAGTCCGGAGACGTCGATGTGCTTCGAGGCGTCGGCTTAGGTCAGAGCCCCGAATCATCAGGGGGAACTCGGGTCAGGGCTAACTCGGGTTTGTTTTTCGGGAATCCGAACCCGACTTACCCCGGACCCGAGTTACCCCGGCTAATTCGGGCGTCCAGAGCCCCACATCATCAGGGGTAACTCGGGTCAGGGCTAACTCGGGTTCCTTTTTCGGGAATCCAAACCCGAGTTACCCCGGACCCGAGTTACCCCGGATAACTCTGGCGCCCAATTAGGGGGGTCCAGGTCTCCAGCGCCTTGGGCAGCACAATAAAAAAGGCCCAGGTTTTTCCATCGTTTCCGTTCGGGGGCCGTTTGCAGGCCACAGGGGCAATGCAGAGATGACCTGGGACCTGGAGCGGGCCCCCGGAGAGGGGCCCAGAGTTTCAGGGCGGCTCGCTCTATGAAGCTATCTAGATATCGGAGATGACTGGGTTGGGACGCGAGGGAGCCCCGGGAGAGGGAAAGGAACCCACAGCCCCGACTACAGCAAAGTCACACCACCATCCATGGCTGCCATTACGGCCACCCTTCGGATGATAAGGAGGTTGTGCGGGGGGCTCAGCTTTCGGTGCGCGATGGGTTCGGATCGGATTCGGCGGGAACCAGTTGGGCACGACGGAGCACGTGTTTGGCGATCGATGTCATTATCTATCTATCTATCGATATCGCTACGGAGCTCCCTCTATCTATCGAGCTCACTTTCCATCGATCTCACAGTCGACCTCACTGTTGATCTCACTTTTGATTTATCCATCGATCCCGCTATCGATCTCACAATCGACCTAACGTTTTGTTTGGGCGTATGGTTCCCCACTACCTGCAACTGGAGACATCGACGCCCTCCGAGATGTCAGCTCTGGGAGGGGATGCGATGGAGATGTCTGTATAGAAGGGCGCCCGCGTCCCCAGCGGCCTTTTCACGAGGTGCGTCTTTGCGTGGCTGCCGCGCACCGAGTAGGCATGAAATGGATCTGGTTCCCCAAACAGTGCTTTCACTTCAGATTGTGTGTCCTTTTCTAAAGAACTGGGACTGTCTGGCGGTCTGCGGCTCCGTGCTCGCCGTCGCCGCCCCGTCGCCGCGTCGTCGCCGCCTGTCGTCTGTGCCTGGTTGGCGGTCTGGCAGCTACGTGGTCGCCGTCGCCGCCCCGTCGCCGCGTCATCGCCGCCCGTCGTCTGTGCCTGGCTGGCGGTCTGGCGGCTACGTGGTCGCCGTCGCCGCCCCGTCGCAGCCTAGATTCAATGTTTTTTTTCCTTCCAAGGAAATGAACTTTCCTCCCCCCTCAGGATTGTCGACCCCCCTTTTTCGTCTTGCAAATTGCATATGATTCTGCCCCATCGTCCATCCTAAGTATGGGTTCACACCATCCCAGGGGGGCCGGTATCCGCCCCCCCCGCTTTCCTCTGCAAAACAGCGTATGCGCGCACATTCGTTTGTCAACAGTCATCGGTTTAAAATAATCCTTGGCAAAAAACGGAACGAAGTGCGCACGCGCGCGTCGTCGCGCGGGCATGCCGAAATCCTTCAAAACCTTTGTCTTCGCAGCGATGTCCAAATTATCCCAGTGCGACCCTATCTAGGAATTGGAGCCCCTAGGAAAGCAGCATTAGTAGTAACAGTAAAGCTAAGCTAAAGCTAAGCTAAAGCTAAGCTAACGCTGTGCTGAAGCTAAGCTAAAGCTAAGCTGAAGCTAAGCTAAAGCTAAGCTAAAGCTAAGCTAAAGCTAAGCTAAGCCTAAGCTATCACTAAGCTAAAGCTAAGCGAACGCAAAGCTGAAGCTAAGCTAAAGCTAAGCTAAAGCTAAGCTAAAGCTAAAGCTTAATATAAGCTGAAGCTAAGCTAAAGCTAAGCTGAAGCTAAGCTGAAGCTAAGCGAAAGCTAAGCTGAAGCTAAGCTAAGGCTAAGCTAAAGCTAAGCTGGAGATAAGCTAAAGCTAAGCTACAGCTAAGCTAAAACTAAGCTAAAGCTAAGCTAAAGCTAAGCTAAAGCTAAGCTAAAGCTAAGCTGAAGCTAGGCTTAAGCTAAGCTAACACTAGGCTAAAGCTAAGCTAACACTAAGCTGAAGCTAAGCTAAAGCTAAGCTATCACTGAGCTGAAACTAAGCTAAAGCTAAGCTAAAGCTAAGCTACAGCTAAGCTAAATCTAAGCTAAAGCTAAGCTAACACTAAGCTAAAGCTAAGCTAGAACTAAGCTGAAGCTAAGCTAACGCTAAGCTAAAACTAAGCTATAGCTAAGCTAAAGCTGAGCTAAAGGTAAGCTAAAGCTAATATAAAACTAAGCTAATGCTAAGCTAAAGCTAAGCTGAAGCTAAGCTAAAGCTAAGCTGAAGCTAAGCTAAAGCTAAGCTAACGCTAAGCTAAAGCTAAGCTAACGCTAAGCTAAAGCTAAGCCAAAAACTAAGCTAATGCTAAGCTAAAGCTAAGCTGAAGCTAAGCTAAAGCTAAGCTGAAGCTAAGCCAAAGCTAAGCTAAAGCTAAGCTAAAGCTAAGCTAAAGCTAAGCTAAAGCTAAGCTGAAGCTAAGCTAAAGCTAAGCTAAAGCTAAGCTAACACTAAGCTAAAGCTAAGCTAAAGCTAAGCTAAAGCTAAAGCTAAAGCTAAAGCTAAGCTAAAGCTAAAGCTAAGGCTAAAGCTCCCATGGGACTGGGGGAACCGCGGGGCGGGGACTGGGGGAACCGCCAGGGGCGCTTTCCGCTGCCCGGCCCCTTTAAGCTAGAGGGTAAGAACCCTTCTAGGCAGAGCCTAGGTAGGGAAAAACATATAAGACATACAGGGTTTCGGCAACACGGATGTTCAAACAAAACTATCGTTTGTTTTTGCTAATTCTTAAGAGAACCGTTGGTTGTTTCAACTTCTGAAATTGCTACCAAGCGGGCTTTGCGCGCGCATGTCGAAATCGTTCGAACGCCCTTGCGCGCGTGCCGTCGCGAGAAGCCGTTGCACAAAAATGGGAAGAAGTGCACACGCGCGCGCCGTCGCGCGCGCATGCCGGCACCAGTCAAAAACCTAGGGTTTCGTGGCGATTTCAAAGCCGAGTGCCCAGCAAATTTAAAACACACATGTTTTCGCAACCTCAATTTTCAACACATCGTACCGCGTCGACTACATCACATAGGGTGCACCTCGTGCACTGCACAACATAGAGCGCACAGCACATATTGCACAACAGAGGTTGCAGGTCGCACCACGTGTATGCTGCGCCGCGTAATTTGCACCACACATCATATTGCACCACACATTCCGCACAGCACGGGAGCACAACAGACGTTGCACCACACGGGTCGCGAACCCATGGGTTACTCTGCATGGCTTGCAAGACACATGAGGCTGGAACACACACACACACACAAACTAGGGGAACAAGAAGTGGCATAAACATAAAAACTCGGAGGTCCGCGCGGATTTCTCGGATCGGCGCTGGACCCCCCTCCCTGGCGCGCGGAGCGCGCCAGGGGCGGCGCCGGAGGCGCCGCCGGGGGGCCTCAGCGCCGATCCGAGAAATCCGCGCGGACCTCCGAGTTTCTATGTTTATGTCATTGTCTGTTCCCCTACAAACACACACAAGCACACACACAAACACACACGCACGCCCACGCACACACCACACACACACACACGCACACACACGCCCACACGCACACACGCCCACACACAGACACACACACACACACACACACAGACACACACGCACACGCACACACGCACACACGCACACGCACACGCACACGCACACACGCACGCACACACGCACGCACCCACACACACACACACACACACACGCACACGCACACGCACACGCACGCCCACGCACACACGCACGCACGCACACCGATGGGGGCCCACGCTGGCGAGCGCGCGCCAGTGCGGGCAGAGTGGTCCACGGCGCCTGCGGCAGGCCCGCCGCCGTGCCGTCGAGAAGCGCTCCGCGGGGCGACCCCTGGAGGCTTCTCGGGGCTTGCAGTCGGCCCGGATTCGTAGGTCGACCCTGCCAAATCAAAGGTACCCTCGTGTCCTGTGTCTCGCGACCCGTGCCTCCTGCATTCTTGTGGCAATGTGGCCCTCGGAGGGGTCTTGTGTCCTGTCGCGTGTCCTCTCAATGAAGTCCGACTGTACTGGGCGCGTGCAGGGTGCTACTCGGTACGATTTGACGCAATGTTGGGCCACCTTTTGGCGGCCTCGATGGCCGTCGGGGGGGGCCGCAGAGAGGCGTCGGGCCGCCCAAGGCAGCCTTGTGAGAGGGGTGTGTCTGCGGCGTTGTGTTGAGTTGGGCCTGTCCCTCTACAGGAGGAATATTCAAAAATAGTCAAAAATCGGATGGTAATGATTTTCGACTATTTTTGGGTATGCTTATTTTTGTTGAATGTTTGGAGTATCTTTTATTTGTCGTCCAAAATCCGCCTGTAGGGGGACAGGCCCGACTTAAGCGTTGCGTGAGGAGATTGGGCGGGGGCTTAGAAGAAATCTTGCAGAAACCTTGCCAGGCAGCACGGTGGCGGATGCACGTGCCGCCTGCCCAGAGCGAACGGCACTCGCTTGACACGCGCACGCGTGGACGTGTCGCGCGGGCTGAGAGCAGTCGGAGTGCATGGCAGCTGGATGCCGGGTGCTGCTCAGCAGACTCCGACACGTGCCTCTCCTGCCGGCGACGGCGCGTTGCCGGTGCAGTTCCTGGGAGGTTAGGCTCAACATTCGGCGCTGTTACATATCCTTGGCGAGAACGGGGCGAACCTGGCGCACTCCTCTCTTGTGCCGCTGGATCCCCGCAAAGCCGGCCTCATCCGTCCTGATTGTGGCTTCCCTCCGGCTGAACGGCACCTTGCTCTGGCTCGTTCGCCCCAAATCGTACCCACGAGTACCTCGCACGAGAACTCCGTCAGGCCCCTCCCCTCCTCCCCTACTCTCCGCCTCATTCTCTGTCCCCCGTTCCTTCCTCGTAACTCTCCCCCCCTCTCCTGGTCATTCTGTTTGTCCTCATTATCTCTTTCCTTTGCCCTTCTTCGGTCCTTCTCTCCTCCCTCTCTGCTCCTCCTCGCCTCCTCCTCGCCCGCGTCGGAGCAGACGGCGAGGGGAGCGTGCCGCGAGGCGAGCTGGCTGCCGCCCGCTGCGCCCACGCGGAGACGGAGAGGCGGCTGGCAGAGTGCGAGCTGCAGGCCGGCCGCAAGCCCGTCCATAGTTCGGGGGTGGGCAGATCTCCCCCTCCTCGCCTCCCCCTCCTCGCCTCCTCCTCCTCCTCCTCCTCCTCCTCCTCCTCCTCCTCCTCCTCCTCCTCCTCCTCCTCCTCCTCCTCCCGTCTCGACGACACGCAAGAGAGTGGCTCTTCGCCGGAGTGGCCTGTGGTGTGGCCCCGAGGGGCCCCCCCGATCACGGAATGCGGTCGGGGGTGGACAGACCTCCTACCCTGACACGTCGATTAAGGAATTCGCCGTTTTCGGTTCGCGAGAGGGCGCCGTCGGTTTTGCGGGTCCAGGTCCGTCGGTTTCGGCCCCAGGCCGTGTTCACTAAGGGGAGGTTTACTAAAGGGAGGTGTGTCCAACGCCGAACAATTAGCTGGGGGGAGCGGGCGCTGCAGAGGCAGAGAAGTCAAGCAGAGGCGAAGCGTCCTGGCTCGCCGATAGCCCTACCGAACAGTGTTCGAAGAACGTTTGTGGTTTCCACGAAGTGTTCTCAGAACATTTCTGGCGGAGTCTGTCTTGGTTTAACACATCGGGCCTACGTTCTAAGAACAGTGCTTTTGTCCTTAGAACAGTTTCGGGTTCTGAGAACATTCCGTGGTAGGGCTATAGGATTGCCGGGACGGTCGGTCCCTGCTCAGAGAGAAGGGCAAGGCGCCAAAGGGGGTGCTCGAGAGTGACAGCCCAGACGTGCTCGCGTCGTGCACAAGGTCACGACGGACGATGGCTGGCCTTCTTCGGGACTCCTGGGGCCCTCGCTGGCCCCCAGGACCGCCCCAGAAACGACTCGGAGTGAGAAACGGCCCCGGGCAGAGGGTCGGGCCTTGAGGCAAAGGGTCGGGCCTTGAGGGGAACGCGTGCTGAACAAACAAGACATCCCGTGTCTGGGAAGACGAGGTTGCGTCACCGTTGGTCGGACCCCGTCTGTTCTCTCGAAGGCCGTGCAGCTGGCCTCCGCGACGGGGAAGGGAAGCCTGACAGGCTTGACTACCTAAGGTTTCGCACTCGTTAGTCCTTGCTGTGATTTCGGGTCCTTGCATCGCCGCCACCGCTCTGATCGTCGCCAGCAGCACCGGCACCAGCCATGTGCAGTCACAGTTATCATCACCTTTGGCACCTCCATCTACAAAGGTTCTGGCCTTCAGCACCCGTATGTCATGGACTGACGTCCTCCAAAGTGTCCTGCGCTGGCGATGCGCAAGGTCACATGACTGCGCTCCTGTCAACGGTTTGCCCTTTCGCATGCGACGCACTTGCCATGCATCCCTTGTGTTGGTAGTGGGCCCTCCTATTCAGTGCTATGTACGCCGTAGTAGTAGCAGCAGTAGTGGTGCATCCAGCGGTGTGGAAGCACTGGATGGCGCGTGGAGGCTTCAGGACATAGAGCCAGTATTAGTCCGTACGAGATTCAACCAGGGCCCACAACATATACTCATTCCAGGCCCCAAGAGATATGAGGAGCCATGTGGCTCCTAGATGGCGAAGCATCACTCCCCGTACAAACAGTAGTGGCAACACATGGAGCAACATCAGCGTTGTTAAACTCAAGCGATACAATAGTGGCAGTAGCGGTGATGGACGTTGTAACCCTGCCCGTACTAAGCGTAGCAACCGCGCTGTTACGATGACGAGAACGGTTGGCATTCGTTGTGCGTGCACAACAATGAGTACCACCAACAAGTGACACTCATGCCCTGGCTCTTGTACGAGGGAGACGTGGGCCAGGAGAAATGGGGTAAGGAGAGGGAGAGGCTCTCGGGGCGATCTTGGTGTTCTCTTGGGGCCATCATGGCCCAGACGGCTTCCTGGAGGCCCCCCAAGAGGTGCCCGGTTGGAGAATTCCCCCAGAGACCCTCCCAGAAGCCCTCCCAGAGGCTCCCTCAGATGCACGGGCTCCCATGGACGGTTCCCCGGAGGCCCCAGAGACCCCCCAGAAGTCCTCCCAGAAGCCCCCTCACGAAGAGCCCCCCCAGAGGTTCCCTGGACGGCCCAGGAGGCTCCCCCAGCCCTCCCAGAGATCCCCCCCAGAAGCCCTGAGCTCCCCTGGAGGCCCCCCCAGAGGCCCCCTGACCCGGACGGTCCCCCGGATGCCCCACCCGCCCCCCCCCCCCCACATGCTTCCTTGTGGGGAGGCAGGTCAAGAGCGAGGGGATGAGAGGGGGACCACAAGAGCCCCCGCTCCCCCGGAGGCTACCCCAAAGCCCGCCCAGAGAAGCCAGGGGAGGCCAGGGAGATCAGGGCGGGGTAGGCCACGACGACACGACGACACGACACGACGACGAAGATGAAGCAATCCAAGGCCATATGCGGGGGGGCAGGGCCAGGGGAAGCCAGGGGAGGCCAGGGAGGCCAGGGAGGCCGGGGCTACCACCCAGGACGCCAAGAGGGGGTGGGGTGAGGAGGGCAGAAAGACTAGGAGACCCAGGGAAACCGGAGACCAGGGCTACCAGGGAGGCCAGGGGAAGCCAAAACGACACGACATGACACAGCACGACACGACACGACGACGAAATTAAAGAGGTCCGAGCTCTAGAAAACAATTTTGCATCTCCCATCGTTGCAAGGAGTCGGGGTATTAGGATTAGGTGTATGGTTTCGCCGCAGCAGGAGTCGGTGTAGTACCAGTGACAGCCGTGGACGTGCGAAGTAATAGGATATTGAATTTGTTTGTCTTAGCTCGCCAGGCTAAGACAGTCGTAGCACAAGCAGCAGTCATCGTCACTGTCGTGCTCGTGCTAGTAAGAGTAGCACCAGTAGTTTGGTGAGTCTTACGCGCAGGAGGGGCCGAGGATATTCGTACGAGTATCGATGTTGGATACGTGTCGACCCGAACAGCCTTGATCAATGTGCCGCGCTACCATCCGAGGGCCCATGCATAGAGGCGCCATGTGCTTGATTAGCAGAGGCTGCAGGTCATGTCATGCATCGCAGGCGACGGCAGCACATTCGCTGAAGCTTTGGAGACGGCGTCTACATGGGCGACTGGACCCCACGACAAGAGCAATTGGCTCGTGCCAGACTGCATACTCGTGGGGGGATGGCCCTATCGCTTGCCACGGGGTCGCGGATCGCCTGGCGAAACGGCGGAGGAGGGGCGTTCGAAGTTGAGCAGCATCCTGACGGCGGGCACCAGAACCTTCGTAACGCTGACGGAGCCGCGCGAGCTGCGAGGCAAGCCCTACGCCTGGGGCGCCTTTAAGTCCGAGGCGGAGGCGCAGTTCGCGGCTCTCCACGGCCCCAGGCGGCAGGCCATGCGCCTTGGTCGCGAGCTGCGCTTCCTCCAGTGTCCCATGCCCGACGGCGGGGTGACCTCGGACGAGCAGCTGGCGAGGCTCCTGGCGGCGATCCTGCAGGAGCTGTCCCAGGACCGCGCGCTCTACGTGCACTGCTACGGGGGTCACGGTCGCGCCGGTATCGTCTCGGAGGGCCTCACCTGCATCGGATATAGACAGGACCCCGGGCAAGGGGAGCCGCTTGGAGATTGGGCCCCGAAGCCTCCAAATTGGCCAGGATTACCAAACCCGGTCTGCCGTAGCTCGTGTTTGTTGGGGCACGCGGGTTCCGGCTCGCGGAATGGGGCGGAGGGGGTGGCGCCCCCCGGGACACATCACCAAGCCGTGTCCCATTGACCCAGTCCGCCCACGCCGGCTACACACCTGCACCGATCCTGGCCAGGCCAGCCCGTGGCACAGGAATGGTGTACGTGTCCCCCCCCCGCTTGGCCAGGAGCTGAAGTTGTTTCTCGAACACATCACGCGCGTTATGTCCTCCAACCCACCCACCCACCCACCCTCCCAGTGGATCACAGGACGCCCTCCGCTTCACCCACCCCCGCTGCAGCAGCGCCCGCTGCTTTCAGCGCAGAGGTATGCTGCTCGTAGTGCGCGCGCAACGTGTTATGCCATGCGCCAGCGAGACCCACCCACCCACCCACCCAGCCACATAGCGCGCACTGTGCGGTTTCAGGACAGCTTGAGCTCCGGGAGGTCGTGAACAAGGCACCCGCCCCCGGGCCCACCCGGGGCCCGGCGCCAGGGCCCACGGGGTGCTGTGCGATGCCGCATGGCGGGCGCCCTCCGACCCCGTGGGGTGCAGCCTGCTCTGCCTGCTCTTCGGCCTGCCCCCCGCGGACGCGGTGGCCGCGTTCAACCTGCTGCACCGCGAGCGCGTGGACTGCGGGGTGGGCGGCCCGGGGCAGTTCCCCCACAGCCAGGGGAACGAAGAATGTCGGGGGCGGCAGCGAGAGTCGAGGGGGGGGGTGACTAGGGGGGGGGGGATAGCGTGGCGGGGGCCATGATGTTGTCCCAGATTTCGTGGCGCCTCTTCTCATTTCAATGCGTCCCTGGCCCCCCCGCTGGGCCGCGCACATGCCGCCGGTCATGATTTGCACCCCCTCTCTTGGACACCCCCCTCTTGGCCGCTCCCGAGAATGACGCAGACATAAAAACTGTGAGGTCCGCGCGGATGTTTCGTGTCGGCGCTGGACCCGCCCCCCTCCCCCCGGCGCGCGGAGCGCGCCAGGGTCGGCGCCGGAGGCGCCGCCAGAAGGACCCAGCGCGGATCCGAGAAAGCCGCGCGGACCTCCGAGTTGTTGTATGTTTATATCATTACTCGTTCCCTTAATAGCCTTGGGTGCTGCCTGAGATGGCCCTGGCCCAAAGCGTCCCCAGGATCTCCAGGGAGGCCACCGAGGCCTCCAGAGCACCCCTCACGAGGGCCAGTTCTGCATGCAACATGAGTCATGAACTTCCGGCGCCGCCCGCGGCGCGCTCCGCGCGCCAGGGGGCTCCAGCGCCGATCCAAGAGATCCGCGCGGAGCTCCGAGAGACTCAGTCTAATTATGCTTGTTGGTCTGCCTTTACCAGGGGGGGCTCGGGGGCCCCAGGATCAAGCGAACAGCTGGGGAGGCCTCACTGTAGACATTTTGTCGGGCTGAGAAAGGGAAACGGTTTGACTGAAGCCACACGTTTTAAGCTTGGAGGCATTTTGCAATTGGCAGCATACTTGCTTCGCTGAGGGCACCATTTTCTCACATGCAGCATTTGCACTGAGGGCAGGTTTTCTCACTGAAGGCATTTTTTTGCAGAAGGTAAAAGAATATTACACCTTCAGCTCAACAAATTTGCTTTCAGTGGGCCTCGGATGCGGAACGCGCCAGGGGCGGCGCCAGAGGCGCCGCCGAGGGGGCCCCAGCGCCGAAGTCAATGCGGACCTCCGAATGCTCACGTTTACGACACTTTGTCTTCCCCGCGCCTTGGCTCGTCAGCAACTCATGGGAGCCTTGCGTAGCCTCGAAGCTCCGTCTTCGGAGTTGGCGCGCCTGCGCCAGCGTCTGGTAACCCATGCGAGCGCCGAGTTGGCCACCCATGCGAGCGCCGAGGTGGCCTCGAGCAGCGTCGACTCCGCGTCGACCTCGTGTCGACTCCGCGTCGACTCGCGCCGATCCGCGTCGGGCGGCGTGCGCCGCGCGGGGTCCGGCCGCGGGCCCCCCGCCTCGGGCCGCAGGCGCAGACGCCCGGCGCCTCGAGAGGCATCGAGGCGGATGCTGTCGAAGAAGAGAACACGCCACAAACATCAGCTTCGGGCGCTCCGCGCGGGTTTCTTGGCTCCGCGCTGGGGCCCTCTGGCGGTGCCCCTGGCGCCGCCCCTGGCGCGCTCCGCGCGCCAGGGAGGGGGTTCCAGGGAGGCGGTCGCCGCGGGCTGGAGCGCGCCCGCGGGCGTGGACGAGGAGGAGGAGGAGGAGGAGGAGGAGGAGGAGGAGGAGGAGGAGGAGGCATGGGAGGCCTTCTGCTTGCCGGTGGCATGGGGAAGGCCCCCGCGAGTTGCCGCGGCGCCTCGGGCCAGGGCCCCTCCCAGCGGCGCCCGGCCCGGCGCGGAGCAGCAGCGGCAGGTCGAGCGGGCCGCCGCGCGGGGCGGGCCGTTCCGGGAGCTGCTCGGCCCCGGCCTGCGGGGGCTGCTCGGGCGGCCCCTGCGGCAGGCGGGCGGGGCGCTGCGCCAGGGGGGCGGCGGCGAGGGCGAGGCCTCGGGGAGCGAAGCGTTCGGCACCGCCCGGACGTTTGCACTGCTTCTCGGCGAGGGCCGTCGAGGAGCATCTTCCCTGACCTTCCAGAGAGCTATTTTTTAGCACTGGAGACCTAAAAACCTAAAAAGCTGAGCGAACCAGCCTAAAACCAAGACGTAGAATAGCTTTGGGATAGGTTTTCAAGTCGGGTGCTATTTTTTAGCCTTCCTGGAAGGTCAGGGTTGGGTCCTCTTGCGCGACGCTGCACGCACGAAGCCGCAGCACGCACGCCTGGGCGACGGCGAGGAGAGGACAGAACCCTGTAGACTTTGGGAGGTGCGCGCGGGTTTCTCGGATCGGCGCTATACAGCCCCCCGGCGGTGCCTCCGGCGGCGCCCCTGGCGCGCGAAGCGCGCCAGGGTCCAGCGCCGCTCCAAGAAATCCGCGCGGACCTCTAAAAGGTGATGGGTATGTCATGTATGATGTTCCAACCTCCTTTAGCCTTGATCACCAGAAAGAATCTCGAGCACCAGGAAAGTACCGAAACTTGAGGGTTGTCACGTGTCGGGCCCTGGGTAGGCGATACTCGTTCGACACCGTTTCGATACTTTTTTCTGGGTGCTCGAGATTATTTTGGGGATGTGGTCCTTAAGTGCGATGGGAGCAACATACGGATATGTCATGCTTCCTTCCTCGTAGAGGAGGGCGACAGCGGCGACGAGCGCGAGGCGGGCATAGAGGATCGGCGACTACCAACCCAGACCCCTTGGAGTCGGCCAACAGCGCAACGGAAGATGTTTTGCCATGTTTTGTCCTCTCGGGGCCGTCTCGGCCACGCGCAGAGGGGGGTAGGAGGAGGGGGGAAGGCTTCTTAGACGCAGACCCCTGCTTCTTGGAAGGCACGGGCCGTGTCTGCAGATGCAAGGCCCGCGCCGTCTGAGAAGCAGCCCGCTTCTCAGAAGCCTTCCCCTCTCCCCCGAACCCCTTGTGCGCGCCGCCAACCGTCAACCGAGCGATTCAGCATGAAAAGCATGGGGAGCGGGCCGAGATCTCTGGGGGTCGGCGTGAGGAACGAGTCGCGGCGTCGGGGGTCTGGGAAGGGTGTGGTGATCAGGAAAAAACAGTTCAAACATCAACTTTTGGCGCTCCGCGCGGATTTCTCGGATCGGCGCTAGACCCCCCTCCCTGGTGCTCGGAGCGCGCCAGGGGCGGCGCCGGAGGTGCCGCCAGGGGGGTCCAGCGCGCATCCAAGAAATCCGCGCGGGGCGTCGAAAGTTTATGTACACGGCGTTTTTTCTTCTTCGAGTGACGCCAGGGTGTGGTTTGCGATCTGCGTCGTTGGGGCTTGGGTGGGGCACCACGTTGCCCTCGTCGGGGCGCGGCGGAGAGCTCTGTCGAGGTCCTTGCCCGCTCCCCTGGCAGGCGCGGGTTTTGCAAGCCACACCCCCTCTGCAAAACTGCACCCTTCGGAGTCGACGAGAGGAGGGCGACAGCGGTGACGAGGAGGACGAGGCGGGCGCTGAGGACAGCGACTATCATCGACAAAATGGACCTCAAGCATGCGCTACGCAGTTTCCTTGGTGATCGTTTTCTGATTCATTGTTTTGCCGATCGGCGCGGGCCCTCACACCCCCCCCTCCCCCCCAATGGGCGCTTGTTTCAAGGAGGTGCAGTCTCCCCATATGACGAACTGATGCAAACAGTCGCGTTAAGCAGAGGTCCGGTGCCAGACCCCCCCCCCTCCCTCCCCCCTTCCACCCAATGTCGAAACGCCGAAGAAGAAAGCGTTCACTTGTCGGTGTGGTGTTCTGGTCCTGGGGGGCACTGCGTGCCAAGTGCGTGTTGGCGCCCCCATCCCAGTGTCGGCCATCCTGGAATCTTCCAGGTCACGCTCGCTCAGACCGCGGTCCGCCCAGCTTCGACATTGAAGGGGGTGAGCGTTGAAGGGGTGAGTGTGGGCGACGTGGAAGAGAGGCGTCGATCGCTGTTGGTGTTAGTTTGGTGGAGGGTTGGAGGACGCTGGCGGCAAGCCCATCCCGCAGAGCCATGGCCGTGACCGTTGACTGCGGACGAGAACAAGGCGGGCGACGAGGACAACGAGAACCTGGGCGGCAAGTCCCTCCGGCAGGACCACTGCCGTGACCGCTGACTGCGACCGTGGGCGCGACCGCGGCCGCGTCCGCGGGCGGTCGGCCGCGCAGCACGGGAGCCTCTGAGTGCCCTCGAAGCTCCGCCCTCCTTAGAAGCAGTGCGCCAGCGCGCGCTAGCGCCTGCTGCAATCGATGAGAAAGCTGATGGGCCTGTTTTCAACCACCACCACCACCGCCACCGCCACCCTACGTTGAAGGGGGGGAGGAGGAGGAGGAGGAGGAGGAGGAGGAGGAGGAGGAGCAGGAGGAGCAGGAGGAGCAGGAGGAGGAGTGGTCGAAGGCACTAAGGTGCCACAGCCCCGCCAGGACCTCCCTGTACTCCTCCTCCTTCTCCTCCTCCTCCTCCTACTCCTACTCCTCCTCATCCTTCTCCTCCTCCTCCTCCTCCTCCTTCCCCTCCTCCTTCACAATTAAACAATATGAATAACTACTACTCTCCTCTTTCCCCTGGTGGCGTCCGGGAAATGGTCGGCCCCCTCCGCGTACTGTTTTTTACATCGGATTCCCGGGAGTGGGGTTTTCGCTTGTTTTTTTTCTTTGTCAAAATGTTGCTCTCGCTGATGCGCTGGCCTCACGTTCGGGCTACCGCTGGTTCCGAATCGTGCTCCCGCTGCACCGCTGGCCTCATTTCCGCGTTTCCAGTCGTTCCGAATCGTGCTCCCGCTGCAGCGTTGGCGTCATTATTTCCAGCGCCATGTCACGACATCGGCATGGTTTTCGATCCTTCCAAACAGGCCCCAAAATCTAGAAAATGCCCCCCGACAAAAACCATCGGAGGTGATTACACATTCGATGCCGATTCGTTGGTTTTTTGGGCCTCGGAAGACCCCCCCACTTTGGGGCGTCGCCACGCCATGCTATGTCAGGCTACGCGTCCTCATTTCCGCGCTTCCGCGCTTTTTTTCCAATATGCTGCTCTCGCTAAAGCGCTGGCTTCATTTTCGGGCTACGAATCGTGCTCCCGCTGCAGCGCTGGCCTCATTTGCGGGCTACCGCTCGTTCCGAATCGTGCTCTCGCTGCAGCGCTGGCCTCACTTCCGCGATTCCGCACGTTCCGAATCGTGCTCCCGCTGCAGTGTTGGCGTCATTATTTTCAGCGCCATGCCACGGCATGGTTCTCAATCCTTCCAACTCGCCCCTAAATCTAGAAACTGCGTCTCAAGTGATGACACATTCGGTGTCGATTATTTGATTTTCTGGACCGCAGAAGACAGACCCCCCCCCACTTTGGGGCGTCGCCACGCCATGCTATGTCAGGCTACGCGTCCTCATTTCCGCGCTTCTGCGCTTTTTTTTCCAATATGCTGCTCTCGCTAAAGCGCTGGCTTCATTTTCGGGCTACCGCTCCTTCCGAATCGTGCTCCCGCTGCAGCGCTGGCATCATTTCCGCGCTCCCGCTCGTTCCAAATCGTGCTCCCGCTGCAGCGCTGGCGTCTTCATTTCCAGTGCCATGCCACGGCATGGTTTTCGGTCATTCCAAATAGGCCCCAGAATCTAAAAGATGGCCTCTCGAAGAAACCATCGGAAGTGATTACACATTCGGTGCCGATGCTTTGATTTCTTGGGCCGCAGAAGCCCCCCTCCCCCTCATTTTGGGGCGTCGCCACGCCATGCAATGTCATGCTACGCGTTAATCTTCAACACCATGTTATGCCATGTATGCGCTGCGCCATGCTGCGACATCCGATTGTGCGAATAGGGTAAGGGATGGGAGGGATGGGTAGGACGTCAGATATGACGCGAGCGTACCGACCTTGTCCTCCTCCCCCTCCTCCTCCTCCTCCTCCGCCTCCTCCTTCTCCTTCCCCTCCCCTTCCTCCTCCTCCTCCTCCCCCTCCTCCTCCTCTTCCTCCTCCGGGTCTGCGGCAGTAGTCGTGATCATAGCCATCTAGACACCAAGGCACAGCAGAGTTCAGCGCAGCTTGTAGCGTCTGCCCAGGGACCCGTGGCGCTGAGCACGAACAGAGGGAGGCTCCCATGAGTTGCCACAGAGGCCGGCGCTTCCGTGTTGCAGCTTTCGAGGCGAGGCCCAGCAGTCCGAGAGGCGTCGGCCCTCCTGCGCGTCGGAGTGATTTCGGCCGGTGAGCGAGAGCGAGGCATGAGAGAGAAATTAACATGGACACCAAGAAACGTCGATCCCTATGACAACATGTGAAAACATCGGCAATGGAGGCGAAGGCGGAAATCCAGAAAGGATTGCAAAGTATGTTTGGGAATCCTGGAATTTGTGTACATGTACTTGTTCTGGACGCCCGAAATGGGTACTGAAAGAATGGGTACTATGCCCAACAGCAGTTCCTGTTCATTTTGAACCAGATCCGCTGTCCACGCCGCCGCGGCCTGTGTTCATTCGAGACAGGAGGCCGCCTGCCCAACAGCGGCCGCTGTTGGTTTGGGACAGCATTTGCTGTTGGGCATCGTACCCATTTTTTCGGTACCCATTTCGGGTGTCCAAAGTTGTGTCTCCCTGGGCCCTGTAGCGATTGCCGCAGGGAGCAGCGCGACGAGGGCTCGCGGCGCGTCGGCGCGCGCAGGGTGCTCCATGCTCCAGGGCGGGGGCTTATCTTTCCAATCACCGCCTCGGGGATAGATCTGTGAGGGCCTCGGCAGTCGGTGGACATGGCATGTTCTGGCCCTGGGGGGAAACCCATGCAGGCGGAAGTCGCGGCGGCACCCTGGTCCTTGAAGTTCGGCATGCAGGCGGAAGTCGCGCCGCAAGGGCAGGAAGGTAAAATGGACACAGTAGCGGTAACTCCTCGTTGCCTTGTCTGGCCTCGTCGTCATAATACTGCCATTCGTGATCTTTCCCTCATGTTTCCTCTTCTGCTTCCTTATTCTCGCCCTCCCCAGCGAGTTCTTCCTCTACTTTTTTTGCGAAAGCTCGTCCATGGAAAGCTTCTTGGGGGCCTCACGAAAGTTTTACATGACTTTTGAAAGCCTTCTGGAGGTATTCTAGGCGCCTTCTGGGGGCCTCTGGAGGCTTCCTCGGGCCACCCTGCTTCCAACCGCGGTCTCCCTGAACGAGTGGGTCTCGATTTGCAATGCTTCGGGGGGGCGTCTTGGGGCCATTTTGGGCCATCATGGGGCCTTCTTCGGGCCATTTTGGGGCCCTGACAGCAATTGGGAACCATTGCTGTTCTACATTTCGAACACCTCGTGGGAGCGTTCTTTGGAACGTCTTCGAGCATCTGGTGGGTGTTTGGGGCCTCTTGGTGCCCTCCTGGGAGCCGTTCGGCCGCCCTCCTGATCGATGTGGGCCCGCTGCCTGAGCCCAGCAGGGGCTTCCAGGAACTTTCAACAGCCCCGGGAACCTCCTGCAGGGGCGTCTAGGGGGCCCCTGGGGCCAGGAATCTGGGGAGTCCCGTTTAGGGGGGGGTCGCAGAGTTCCAGACTGTCACATTAGATTAACAAGACATGAACATATATATATAGATATATATATATATATATATAATAAAATATACACACATACATGTGTATATATATATCAGGACTAGTCAGGCAGTGTATGATACTGAGTCCTGAGTTGTTGTATCGATTGTTTAGAGCATTTTGCATGCGTTTCCTGGGCATGTCGTCGGTTCACTGCATGTGAAAGCTGGGGCCACAAAACAAGTAATATGTAACTACCTGTACACATGTGTCACACATATAGATGCACTTATATAAATATGAATATGCGTATCTATATGCGGAAAGGAGCATGTGTATATATGCAGGTATACATACATAGATCCAGCTGCAAATGCACACAAATATGCATCATATATATATATATATATGTATAAGATCCCAGGCCGAGGGTTTGCAGCCCCCCCTCCCAGATGGGATGGAACCCAGGGTTCCACAGCTTCCCCCCCACCCGATGGGATGGGGGGGGACGACGACGATGACGACGACGCCTCCGACGACGACGACGACGCCGACGACGCCGACGCCGACGCCGACGCCGACGCCGACGACGACGACGACGCCGACGCCGACGACGACGACGACGCCGACGCCGACGCCGACACCGACGCCGACGCAGACACCGACGCCGACGCCGCCGCCGGCGCCGACGCCGACGCCGAATGAAGGAGGCGACAACGACGACGACGACAGAAGCCGACGACGACGACGACGACAACGAACCACCCCACACCCATTGAGGGGGGTAAGCATCGGCACGCCACGCCCACATGGCCACGACCACAGGGGGGAAGGGGAGCGATCCCATTCGCGAGGTCTTCGCAAGGCTCACGGGCGTACCTGTCCAGCGGGGGGGGGTTCGATCCCATTTGCATTGGGGGCAACCTTGGGTCATATATATATATATATATATATATATATATATATATATATATATAGTCATACATCTATATATATATGTATATATGGATGCATCTTTATAGACGTATGTATGTGTGTATCTATACAGACATATATTTATGTACAATCCACATCCGTATCCATATCCACCGCCAGCCAACGTTCCCGAAGATCGATCCCCAGGCGGTGGTTACAGTTAAATTCCTGGCTCTTACTGTTTGGCTTCCTGGGGGCTTCCTCGCCGCCACGCCCGGACCCGTGTCGGACATCTGGACCTAGTCGCCACCCCAGCCCCATCTCGGGCCGTCTCGGGGCCCTCGTGGGGCTCTCGAAGCCGTCTTGGGGCGGTCTGGGGGCCGTCCTGGGACCGCGAGCCCGCGCGGAGTCGGCCGGAGGCGCGCAGGGATCGCAGAGTAGCGCCCCAGGGAGGAGTCTTCTGGAGGTTTTTGGCGCCAGACATCGGCCGGTGTTGGCCCCCCAGCACACCTCGGCAAGGTGGCCTCACCCGGCCCGCGCCTCGGGCAGGGCCGGTCGGATCTGCAGGGCGTCGTCCTCTGCCGGGGGCCCCCCGCCCTCGTGGATCGCCTGCACGGCTGAGTCGATCGGGTTGTATAGTTCAAGCGGAGGCGAAGCGTCCTAGCGCACCCAGAGCCCTACCAAACAATGTCCCAAGAACCTTTTTGTGGTTTCCACGGACTGTTCTCAGAACATGTCTGGCCGGGACTGTCTTGTTTTAGCACATTGGGCTTATGTTCGAAGAACATTGTTCTTGCTCTTAGAATATGTTTGGGTTCTCAGAACATTTCGTGGTAGGACTATAGGAATGCCGGGACGGGCGGTCCCTGCTCAAATAGTTGAGTATTAGTTAATTGGCTGGCAGGCTGGCAAGTCGACTGGTTGGCCCGCTGTCTGGACAGACAGTCGGCAGGCTGGCTGGCCACATGGTTGGGCGAAGGGCCAGCTCGCCTGCTCGCTGGCTGGTCGCAAGGCTGGCCCGGTGGCTGGCGAGCTCGGAGTGTGGGTCCGTGTTTTTGTTGAGGGATCGTGGGTCTTCGTGTTGTGAATCCGCAGCGTCCCCGGTGTTGGGTCTTCGTTCTGAATCCGCAGCGCCCCAGGTGACCTCTTCCCAATGCTCCTTCCTCTCCCTTCCTTGCCTCGGCTCTCCGCATGTCAATTTCGGCACACCTTTCATGCGCTCCGTGGCCTCATTTGGGCGCACCCCTCACGCGCTTCGTGGCTCCATGGGGAGTTCCACTGAAGGCTCCAGCGGCAGGGTCCGCATGGCGGCGGTGCTTAATTTCGGCGTACCCCTCACGCGTGTCGTGGCTCCGTGGGGAGCTCCACCGAAGACTCCAGGGACAGGTTCCCTATGGCGGCGGTGCGCCTCATGTCGGCGCACCTCTCAAACGGTTCGTGGCGCCATGGGGAGCTCCACCGAAGGCTCCAGTGGCAGGCTCCGCATGTCGGCGGTGCGCCTCATTTCGGCGCGCCGATCACGCGCGTCGTAGCGCCATCGGGAGCGCCACCTGCTGCCCTGGTGCGTGCGTTCAAAAGGCCGCCCCCGCTCGAACTCCTCACCAGGATCGTGGCCCCACATGGGGCCCCACCGCCGCCCCCCAATGCGAAACTGCTCCGAACGCCATCCCTCTCGAGGCGCGCCTGCGCATGAGGAGAGAGCCGCGCCCTGCGCTGTCGCAGCTGCACAGGGTCGGGTCGCTTGTCAGGCTTCTGTGAGGCTTTCCAACAAAGTGCCTCACCTCCAAGGATCGAAGGAGTTGTCACCTCTTCCTCGGCGGAAGGTCGGCGGAAGTAGAACGAGGCCGCCTCCGCTGGCGGAGGCCGGCGGAAGGCTGGCCGAAGGCAGAGGAGGAGGAGGAGGAGGAGGAGGAGGAGGAGGAGGAGGATGGAATATGATCGAAACGGGAGTGTGGCATGGAGGGGGAAGGGAAGAAGGACGGAGGAGGACGAGGATGCGGAGGGAGGAGGAGGATGATTCAGGATGATGATGACGATGAGGATGAGGATGAGGATGAGGATGATGATGATGATGATGCTGATGATGAAGATGATGCTGCTGATGATGATGATGATGATAAGGATGATGATGCTGATGATGATGATGATGCTGATGCTGATGCTGATGATGATGATGATGATGATGATGATGCTGATGCTGATGCTGATGCTGATGCTGATGATGATGATGCTGATGATGATGATGATGATGCTGCTGATGATGATGATGTTGATGATGATGATGATTGATGGTGATGATGATGATGATGATGGTAGTGGTGGTGGTGGTGGTGGTGATGATGATGGTGATGATGATGATAATGATGATGATGATGATGATGATAATGATGATGACGATGATGATGATGATGATGATGATGATGATGATGATGATGATGATGATGATGATGATGATGATGATGATCGAGGCGGAGGATGATCGAGGCGGAGGATGGAGAGAGGGGCCCCCTCTCGAGAGCCCACCCCCGCCGCAACTAGTGGGCCGCGCCCCCGCGGGGAGGCCGCCGTCGCTGAGCTGAGGGCGCGCCAGCGGGCGGTGGCCGGCCTCGAAGAGGAGCTCTCCTGCTTCCCTCCCTGCTTGCCTCCACGCCTCCTCTCCTCATCCTCGATCCCCCTCCTCCTCCTCCGTCCTCCCTCCCCTTCTCCTCGATCCTCCTCCTCCTCCTCCTCCTCCTCCTCCTCCTCCTCCTCCTCCTCCTCCTCCTGGTCCTTCTCCTCCTGGTCCTTCTCCTCCTCCCCTGCCGCCTGCGCGAAGACCTGCCCTCTCGGGCAAGTCTTCTGGCTGGCGAGAGGCAGGGATGTGCCTGCCGACAGGGAGTCCGGCGTCAGGGCGGTCTTGTCTGCGCGGCCGGGCGAGGAAGGCTTCGCGGAGGAGGCTGCGCTGGCGGTTCCCCTCGAGCAGGCGGAGGCACCATCGGCGCAGGGCCACGGGAGGAAACTCCTCCTGGCCTCCTGGGGCGACCCCCTCTCCTTCCGCACTCGGCCGGAGGCACGGGCGGGGGTCCCTGCCGGAGAGGTCCCCGAAAGGAGCTCCTCCCAAGGCGCTCGCTGCTCGGGCGAAGGCGCGGCGTCCGCTGCGCAGGCCAGGGGCCAGAGGCGGGCAAGGGCGGCCAGGGCAGCCACAGGCCGCCCCTCCCCCCCGCTCTCCCCCTGAATACCCCCCAAGTAATCAAAGCATGCCCCAAAAATAATCAGAGGACTATTTTTTTTCAGTATTTTTTGCATTTTTGATGTATGTTAGTGTATTTTTATTTTTTCGTCGAAAATCCCCCTGTAGGGGGACACGCCCGACTTAACCCTGCCCTCCCCTCCCCGCACGAGCGAGCCTGCCCTCCCCCCCGGTGGACGTTGCGGAGTCGACGCAGTCGCCCCCTCGGCCGTGCGACCCTCTGCCTAAGAGCCCGGACCCGCGGGCCCACCATACAGTCCTCGACGGGAGGACACCGACCTGCCTACCTACCTACCTCTCTTCCTCTTTCTCTCTCTCTCTCTCTCTCTCTTTCTCTCTCTCTCTCTCTCTCTCTTTCTCTCTCCCTCCCTCCCCCCCTCCTCTCCCTTTGTTTGTTTTGCTGGTTTGTTGCCTCTCTCTCTCTCTTTTCTCTCTCGTTTCTCGCTTCTCGTTTCCCGCCTTCGCGTTCCCTACCCCGCGCCGCCGCGCGCAGGGCAGAAACAGGGCGCGCCCGGGAGGGGGCCACGGGGGCCTTTCGCATTCCCGCCTTGCCCCGTGCGCAGTTCGCGGCCGCTCCGGCGCGCACTGCCTCTGCACGGCCCCCGCCGCGCAGCAACGGCGCGCTTGCCACGCAGCGGGCGTGGCCTGGCCCACGCTTGGGCCCAGCAGGCGCAAGTCGTGTTGCCCGTGTGTGCCCAGGGGCGGGCACTGCCAGAGCCCCTTGCGAAACGGGCGGAAGTGCCAACGCAAGCCAGCAGGGCGTGGGTTGCGGGCACGTCCCTGCACGGGCAGGCACCGCAACTGGCGAGCACTGCCGGCGAGTCTTCGCCGCCACACACCGGGAGCGGCCAGCGCCCGCTCATCCTGCACACCCAATGAGCTCAATTCCTTTCCCGTCGCGGCATCCGCCACGGGCTGGACGGAGGAGGAAGAAACACTGAAGGTTGGTGGGGGGCGAGCTGCTGCCAATTGGCATGCCGCCTGGTCGCATTCGCGGAGGACGGGGCTCTTCTTCGATCCTCCTCCCCCCATCCTCCTCCTCAATCCTCGTCCTCCTCCTCCTGCTCCTGCCTTTCCTCCTCCTGCTCCTCCTCCTCCTCCTGCTCCTTCTCCTCCTCCTCCTCCTCCTCCTCCTCCTCCTCCTCATCCCCCTCCTCTCTCCTCCTCCTCCTTCTCCTCCTCCTCCTCCTCCTTCTCCTCCTCCTCCTCCTCGTCGTCCTCCTCCTCCTCCTTCTCCTTCCCCTCCTTTCTCTTCCCCTTCTCCTCCCTTTCCTCCTCCTCCTCCTCCTCCCTCCTTCCGCTTTCTCCTCCTCGATCCTCATCATCTATCTTCCTCCTCCTCTTCCTCCTCCTTCCTCGATCCCCCTCCCTCTTTCCCGCTCCCCATCCCTAGACGGATTGGAGTCAGTTTGCGCCGCACATGGCGTTGATTGTTTTTTTCTTCGTTTCGTGTTTCTCCCTCCTTCCTCCCTTACCTTTCCTTCTCCTTCTCCTCATTCTCCTCTTCCATTCCTCATCCCTTCCTCCCTCCCTCCATCCCCCCATTTCCCCTCCTGCACCTTGTCTTTTTCTCCCTGAGAAATAGCCCTGCCGAACCATGGAGGGCCGGTCGTTTTCAGAGTGGAGCTCTCGCATCAGCGCCGCGCACATTGCTCCCCCCGCGCATTTTTTCTTTCAAACATTGCGGCGGGCACAAGGATGGAGAGCCAGTGGTTTTCAAAATGAGGGTCTCGATTCATCGCCGTGAAAATTCGTCACAATGATGGAGGACCAGTTGTCTTGGAGTCCTTGCAAAAAGTTACAGGGATGGAGGCCGATTCTGTCCAACACGTGGTGATCGCTTTAGTAGTCCCTGTTCTCTATGACCCGAAGGTACAAACTGTGCAACAGTTGCGCTGCTGCAGGGCGGCTTCTCTTTGAATTCGGGAGCTCGCGTGAGCCTCCTCACATATTATGTTCGGACATCGGGGTCGGGCAGCACTCGCACGGGTGGTGAGCAGATCCGTGTTCAAAGCGGGGCGATCGTTGGACACTTCCCTGAGGTTTAACATCCTACCCGCATGCCCCGGGCAATACATCTGACCCCCTTTTACGATGGAGAGATGCTTAGCTCGAGGCGAGACAGAGTTCGTCGGAGGAGAGGGGCGGCAAGTTTGAATGTCATACTATCGCGGGGGCAGGTTGCGGATCGAAGCTGCTATCTGCAATTTGCGATTTGCGATTTGCTCCGCTAGAACTGGGCAGTCGAAGGCCAGACTGTCAGATTGGATTGGGCCCCAAGGGCCACTCTGGCCCGGCCAAACTGGATGATTTGGGTTGTTCGCCAGACTGGATTCGCGCTGGCTCCCTCGCCAGGATTGCCCCCGTTTGCCAGATTGGGCCTGCCAGATTGGCGCCAGATTGGCTTCGACTACCCAGCTAGAAGCATGGAGGAGGAGGAGGAGGAGGAGGAGGAGGAGGAGGAGGAGCACCAGGAGGAGGAGGAGGAGGAGGAGGAGGAGGAGGAGGGCATGGAGGGCGGATGCTTTCAAGAGCGGGGCCTCGCCGGCGTTGGCCCGAACGGAGGAGCTTGACGTGAGGAGGAGGAGGAGGAGGAGGAGGAGGAGGAGGAGGAGGAGGAAGGAGGAGGAGGAGGAGGAGGAGGAGGAGGAGGAGGAGGAGGGGAGGAGGAGGAGGAGGAGGAGGAGGAGGAGGAGGAGGGAGGAGGAGGGGGGAGAAGGAGGAGGAGAGTAGGGGAGGAGAAGGGGGGGAGAGGAGGAGGAGGAGGAGGAGGAGGAGGAGGAGGAGGAGGAGGAGGAGGAGGAGGAGGTACGGGAGGAGCTTGACGTGAGGAGGAGGTGGAGGAGGAGGAGGGGGAGGAGGAGGAGGGGAGGGAGGAGGTGAGGAGGAGGAGGGGAGGTGGAGGAGGAGGAGGAGGAGGAGGAGGGGAGGGGAGAAGGAGGAGGACAAGCTAGGTGCGCTCGCGTCATATCTGACGTCCTACCCCTCCCTCCCATCCCTTACCATGGCGCTGATTTTCTCTATCCGCGGACGCGTGTCGTAGCGGACCTGTGGCTCCGCGCGCGCGTGCGTAGTGGGTGGTGGTGCACGTGCGTGCGTGCGAGCGTCGTGGTGGTGGTGGTGGTGGTGGTGGTGGTGGTGGTGGTGGTGGTGGTGGTGGTGGTGGTGGTGGTGGTGGTGGTGGTGGTGGTGTTGGTACTGGTGCTGGTGCTGGAGGTGGTGGTGGTGGTGGTGGTGGTGGTGGTGGTGGTGGTGGTGGTGGTGGTGGTGGCGGTGCGGCGCGGTGGTGGCGGGCGGATGGGCGCGCGAGAGAAAGGCCCGCGCTGGGGCGAGAACGCCATCCTGAACGACGGAGGCCAAACACCGATCCGAAAATGAGGCCCACGCTGCAGCGGGAGCACGATCCGGAACGATTCGGGAGCAGAAATGAGGCCGGCGCCTCAACGAGAGCAGCATTTTGGGAAAAAGTGACGCCGGCGCCTCAGCGAGAGTCGTTTCCCGGGATTTCCCGGGAATCCTGTGGGTAAAAAAACAGTACGCGGAGGGTGCGCGGCCATCACCCGGACGCCATCAGGGGAAGAGGGAGAGTATTTTCATATTGAGTAATTGTAGAGTAGGGGAGGAGAAGGGGGAGGAGGAGGAGGGGGAGGAGGAGGAGTAGGAGGAGGAGGAGAAGGAGGAGGGGGAGGAGGAGGAGGGGGAGGAGGAGTAGGAGGAGGAGGAGGAGGAGGAGGAGGAGGAGGAGGACGGAGCCCATTGCTTTCGCGAGCTTCTTCGGTTTGGGGGGGAAGCCTGTTCGGGGGCAACGATAGGGTGGGATAGGCATAGGGGGGGACGCATCGACCCCCAATCGCCCATTGATCGCCGATAGGGGCCCGGTAGCCTCACCCATCCCAGGAAGGTGCGGATTCATTATCGGGGGCCCATCGCTACTATCGCCGATCAATCGACGATGTATCGCCGATTCCAGGTCGATGCATCCCCCCTTATGCCTATCCCCCCCCTATCGTTGCCCCTCACCTGTGGGGGCGTCCTCGTTCGTCGTCACGGCTGGATCCGCTTCGCTTCGAAGTTTTGCACGAGACGCCTCCCCAGGGACAGGGTCAGGCTGTCGAGCTCTGCGGAGGAAGGCTGCTGCCATGTGTCCCTTCGGTCCAATCGTGCGGGCTGCAGGGCGCTCCAAAGAGCGATCCGCTCTTCAAACCGATGCTGCAGGCACGGGGTCGAGAGCCCGGAGGTCCACAGACCGCGAAGCCTTTTTTCGGCGCGCTCCAAAGAGCGACCCGCTCTTCAGACAGAGGCTGCAGGCACGGGGTCGAGAGCCCTGTGGCCCACAGACCGAGAGAGGCCTCTGGGGGGGGGGGGAGGGGCGCGCGTCGCTGCCT